ATTCCGCCCGAGTTTTATTTCGCCCGTAACCTAATTAGTCCTAGTTCGCCCACGGTCCCAGATTAACCCTTATAATCATCAGCTCTAACTGCGTCAGGAGTCCTATTCCATCCACGGAGGGCCCCACCCACCCCCAACTATGTAAAAGCCCTCCCCTACCCATCACCCAGTTATTTACCTTCGACTACACGGTTATTTAAGCTTAAAATATTTGTTTGACAAATCAAGCGAATTTCCTTTATAGTATTAATGTAAAGTTTAAACACAAAGATATATGTAAAATATTTATAAAATTTACTGTCTATGTACTGTCAGTTACTGTATGTTTGTCTCCCTATCCAAAATGTGCAAATAAGCAATTTAATTATTTAAAATATTGCGCTTGACGTCAAACAGAAACATATGATAACGCTGCAATCCAAGACATGGCCAAAGGCCACTATAAATAGTGTTAAATACCCAACTGCACACCTTTGAGTTTTCTTTATTATACAATGTAAATAATTCGCCTATTGGGTTTGATGATGATTGGAGTGTCGAATCGAACTCGATCACCATTTGCCATATTTTGTGTATATTTATCTTCTGGTAACAGTATAAGAGCAAAAATATATGTTTTATGTGTTTTTAGACGTATTTTTTTACTTTTCGTATACAATGTAATATACTGTAGTAGTTAACGCAAGGAATACATTAAAATAGTGTCGTTTACTCTATTGACGCGAATTGCATACACTACTTTACCTACGACAATATTTTAATTACTTATATCACTATTCATAACTCCTAAGAGAGGTTATGTTTTCGTTTAAGTTATAACATCTCATTGCCACTGACAGTGATGCAACGAACCATTGTACCAATGTTGTTTTGTAAATATACAATGATGTTAAGAGAATCTTTCCCATTCTAAGAATTGCACTGAAATGGCCAGCTTAAAAACAGCCGTAGGTATTAGTTTATAGTATCGTAGTAATTGTTGTAATTTTATAACAAGGAGTAGAAAGTAAGTCATTACATATTTGAGACCATTTTGATGTTTGGGATTTATCGAGCACTTTAAATGGTCGAGATTATGCATAGACCCACCTTCACTAGTGTTCTGAACGTTACTCTTCGCTACACCTTTTTTCTTCATTACAACACCAGTTTGTTGGTTGTGCATTGAAAAAAGTTAATACTTACTTTCACATAGTAAACATTCTTATGCCGTAGTAAACAATGTAATGAAGAGTTTTCGCAGGTGATAAACATGTAACGATAACAGGTGATTTCACAGTAGTGTAGCGAAATAGTATATATATTACGTTACTAGTCCTGAAAATAAGTGTTTACCGGACGAGTGTGGTTGTTCCCGTGCGAGACGTAACATAGACGTAAAACATATATTTGTGCTTTCAAACTGTTATCTCACCAGACGATAAATATACATAAAAGAAGGCAAATTGTGATCGAGTTCGATTCGACACTCCAGCCATCATCAAACCCAATAGGCGAATTATTTACATTGTATAATAAAGAAAACTCAAAGGTGTGCAGTTGGGTATTCAACTCTTAGAAGCAGCTAACTAGTGGCCTTTGTTTGGCCATGTCTTGGATTGCAGTGTTATCATATGTTTCTGTTTAACGTTAAGCGCAATATTTTAAATAATTAAATTGTTTATTTCCACATTTTGGATAGGGAGACAAACATACAGTAACTAACATTACATGGACAGTAAATTTTAAATAGTATATTACGTTACTAGTCCTGAAAATAAGTGTGACGAGTGTAGTCGTTCCCGTGCGAGACAAAGTCGAGTACGGGATTACCATACGAGTCCGGTAAACACATTTTGGACGAGTTACGTACGATAGTTTACGCCATACTACTATATCTCTACAAATCCTTATATATTACCACCAACTAAAGGACTAAAAATCACTAGTCATAACCTCTAAGCGAGGTTATGTTTTTGTCTACAACCACTCATTGCCACGCAAATACAGTATAATCAGCTGTAGTATGGCGTAAAATATTTTACGCCATACTACTCTGTTTTAACGAACTTCCCACGCAAGGATTTAGTCCAGAAAACAGCTGTTTGCCGCCAGCTTAATCAAATGGGGTTTCATTGCGTACTACTGTTATGCAATGAGTTTTACCGGACACCAAACAGCTGATTATACTGTATTTGCGTGGCAATGAGTGGTTGTAGACAAAAACATAACCTCGCTTAGAGGTTATGACTAGTGATTTTTAGTCCCTTAATTGGTGGTAATATATAAGGATTTGTAGAGATTTAGTAGTATGGCGTAAACTATCGTACGTAACTCGTCCAAAATGTGTTTACCGGACTCGTATGGTAATCCCGTACTCGACTTCGTCTCACACGGGAACGACCACACTCGTCCGGTAAACACTTATTTTCAGGACTAGTAACGTAATATACTATTACAGATATCTTTGTGTTTAAACTTTACATTAATACTATAAAGGAAATTCGCTTGATTTGTCAAACAAATATTTTAAGCATAAAACCGTGTAGTCGAAGGTAAATAACTGGGTGATGGGTAGGGGAGGGCTTTTACATAGTTAGGGGTGGGTGGGTTCCTCCGTGGATGGAATAGGACTCCTGACGCAGGTAGAGCTGATGATTATAAGGGTTAATCTGGGACCGTGGGCGAACTAGGACTAATTAGGTTACGGGCGAAATAAAACTCGGGCGGAATAGGACATAACCTGTCGTGCTGAAGCTGTTATCACTAATGACTGATAGATGATAGTAGAGCAAGGTCAAACACGATGACCCAGTTGTTGCTGACCAACCCTACTTAACCTGGACTTTCCCTGGTTAGTCATTGTTCATTGATAAATGATTCAAAGATTTGGCTATAGTTTCCATCTCCTCCTTTGTGGTTTACTTACCAAGTAGAGTGTGTGAATTATGGTTTATAGTCATTGCTCCTACGTACAACTTAAAATATGGTGAATGACTTGTTGTAATTTCAAATTGTATTAGACATTTCTCGAATTAAGTTTACAGATTACAACATTGTAATACAAAAATCATGGCGTTGAAGAACGTACAATAAAAAATACCAATTACATAAAAGTGTATACACACATTAATTGTTAGTTTGAACTTATGTTTAAAAAATCTTATATAAAAGAGTTGTGTGTTTTTTGTAGTTTAAGCTATGCCAGAATTAAGTTTTATGCTAGTTTGTCAATCAAGGTTTAATCAAGTCTAAATTAAGGGTAAAACAACATCGCACAGCAAAAAAGATTTAAAATAATGTTTTCGGGACCACCCTTTTGGTTGTCCATCCAGTGGTTTGTAACTGTACAGATGGGAGAAAACGTTGTTAAATCTGTCCGATTATACCTAGGAGGATTAAACATTAAGGAGAGGACACGCTGTAGTTTCGTTGAAGCCAGCGTACTGGTGGGGTGGGGGGGAGGCAGCGCTACTCTCCCGCCCCCCTCTCATACTGCGTTGTATGCGTTACTGGAAGATTTGGCAACAGAAATATCAATTATCTATTTAAAAATTAGACTTCATCGTCCTACGAAAATTAAAAAGTTAAATTCTAACCGTAATATTAGGAACCTATTAAGAGGAAAGTCATATTTATGAACCAATAGTACGTTCAAAGGTGAGTAATTAATTTACACAAGGATGACTTATTTTTTGGAATTCGTTGTCCTTGTTTTTATTTTTTGCCATACTTGTATTGTGTATTATTTATAATACTCTAACCAGAGCGCGGGACCCCGGTTCATGGGGTCCCGGGTTCAAATCCCGCCATATCACCAATGGATTTTACTGTTCATAAATTAAAACTCAAATCATGAGTAGTACTGTATGTGTATTTGAACATTTTCTTAAAGAGAAATAAAATAAGTTTTAATCCTTTAAAATAATGATAAACGCACTTTGGCGGTCAGAAGACGTGATGATTGTTGAACATTCACACTTTTTACTCGAAGTTTCTTTAGGTAAACAGATCAAATATAGTTTAATATGATATTTAAAAAATCAAGAATTTGATTGCCAAGAAATTGTTTTACTTTTTATGATTGTAATTTAATTGTAACGAATGTTGGTGTAAAAAAAGTTAGAGCGGCTTTGCATTTTTTCTTAACTTTAACTATTTAAAATCACCTGCCTAGCACATAAATGACTTAAAACTAGTAAAAAATTATATTAACAAATCGAGAAAACTATGACAAATTCAAATTTAAAATGTATTTCATCACCCGAATTAAAATTTTCATTTTAACCTATTATTAGTAAGATTGTTTTGTAAACTGGAAAAATAAAAAATAAACTTTATTGTAATTATTTTTCTAAATACCACTTTTAAATATAGGTAAATATATATTTTTTATTTCGAGAAACTCTTAAGGAACACGAATAAATTGTTAATTTGTGTAGATACATCATATAAACGTAATTAAAGTAATCATATGTTCAAAGTCCAGGTCAATTCTTTCAACTTTGATCTTCAATAATAAATAATAAATAATATTTTTTATAGGAATGATTGACACTTTTCGATAGGAAATTTAATTTACTTTAAGAATGCCATCGGTGAATAACACAGTTGTTTTAGTTTAGCGGCAATTTTAATTCGAAACAGCGCGCGTCGCGTTTTTCCCTATCTCTCCCATGTTATAGCCGAGGCTTTTTGCCACTCTACGGCTCCGCGTGCCCCTCTAGTGTTCTGCTAAAGCTGGCTTCACCGCAACACGTGTATTCCTATTCGCGTGCCCTCTCCTTAATGTTTAATCCTCCTAGGATTATACTAACAAAACAATAAACACAGTTTTGTACGGCAAGTATGGTTTACTAGTTTGAATGACACGTATTCTTTTATACATCTACTAGAATGCACTTATTTACTGAATTGACATTGGGAACAACGTTTACAATGCTGTAAGTCATAACATTCATAGGGTTTAATGTGTGCAAAGTACACCTAGTCGAGATTACCTAAAATATCATTTTACAGACTATGTACAAAAGTGGCTTTATTTCACCCACACAACAGTCGGTTCACATGGATATGACAGCTCTCCTTAAATAAATATATATTACACAGCTAAATTTGAAAATATAGTTCATGTGCAGCACTAGTAACTGTGACTCCTAGAACGAGCCGAAGGTTATGTCGTGGAGTGCTGGTGACGAGTTGGCCGGGAGGGCGTAGTCCTTCTCGAGTTGGTCGAGGATGCCACCTGATCGTCCGTAGGATGCTCTGGAGGGCTGGGGCTGCTGGGGCTGCGGTTGGCCGAAGGATACAGGTCCGTTCCTCTCATACACAGGGGCGGGAGCGGGGGAAAAGAAGCTCTGTTGAGGTTGGGGTTGGGGTCTAGGAGCAGGGCGTGGAGCTGGGCGGGGAGCAGGCTGTGAGAAAGAGGAGGATGGACCGACGGGAACAGCACCGGGGATGGCAGCTCGTGGAGGTGCAGGTCCAAGAGACGCGGAGGGGGCAGGTCTGGAAGGTCCAAAGTTCTGGGCGGACTGGAAACTAGGGAAAGAGCTCTGGGTGTACTCGGGTTGTGGGGCGGGTCTAGGGGCAGGACGAGGGGCGGGGCGAGGGGCGGGGCGAGCCACTGGGCGGGGTGGTGGAGGTGGAGCCTTGGCTGGGACCTCCTCGTAGTACTGACCGTCGTCGTACTCCACCGGCTCAGAAACTACCGGTCTGGCAGCTCCCTTTAAACAAACATTATAACAATAAAAACTAAATACAAATCAATATTATTACCATGTCTAATGGAGAAAAAACTACATAAATCTATGTGCAATTTATTTTATGGGCAGTTTCCCATCACATATTCCGAACAAAATATATGTGATACACCATAGAACTATTATTGATCTGTTTTTTTGATTAGAAATTGCATTGACTTGTCATATGCAACATTTAATCCATAACTACATTTTTTTGGACAGAGGATCGCCCACTTATCATACAAGTAATCCTCACTAAGCACCATACAATTTAATCTTTAGAGTATTTTACCAAAACGTGCCAACGAATCTATGGCTATGTGGGGTGTTATTTACCTACTATATTTATCTTGACTTTACCATTTGCACACATACCTTCTTGCTCGGTCTGGTGTTCTCGGTAATAGCGCTCTCGTCCACCAGTGTAGGAGGGGCGACGGTTATTCCCTCCCCAGCGGGTTGGAACCCGTACTTGTTGGCTCCGTACTCTACGACGCGCACCTTGCCGTTGTCGTCCACGTAGCCGTACTTGCCCATTACTTCCCCTGAGGGCAGTTTGGTCTCGATTTTGAAAGCTCCGTCAGCACCCTCATATCCATAGGTGTAGGATCCGTCCTCATTGTGCCTGAAAACACATTCAATTCTATAAACAAACGTGTAAAAGAATGTGATAGATAGCTTGGATGTTGGAAATGCTTTCTTAGGAAGATCAGAACATTTTTTGTAACTCGGATTGTTATTTTGATACCCCAGTACAGCTTTTCAGACTTGTGGGGGACGGACAGTAATGGTTTCTGCATACTTATAAAACAGTTTTTGGCTTTGGACCACTTTATCTTAAAATAGTTTAGTTTTCTCTCTTACACAATTCCACTGACTTTGAAACTAAAAGACTAGAAATTTCTTGGTCAGTTTCAACACAAGTGGAATCTTTCTAAGAAAGAAAACTAACCATTTTAAAGAGAAAATCCATAACATCTTTTTTGGGGGTTGAACCAATCCATCCCATGTTGTATACTGTATTGTTTTATGCATATGTAACATCACCAGTACGTAGATAATGATCCCAAGGATCTCAAGCTCCAAAGGTGTCATTGAGAGGAACACAAGTCATTGAGAGATGATGATAAACTGTTATAACCTTTTACACTGTGTATAGAACAGAATCCAATGTTTAATTTTGTTCGCCCGTATTAGTAAAAAATCTAAAAACATTTCTGATGTTGAAAACCTAACCTTACCTCTATTTACAACAGTTTAACTAGACTTTAGAAATCATGCTAAACATTTCAATAATTTTAACTTTTCTGAATCAATGTCCAGGAAGACTCTTCGGCGTTGTTCTGCTCACCTCCTCGGAGGTCACTGCAGAGATGACCTTCCTGAACTTCCTCGTAAAGCCTTATTATCCTTTCCCTTTGAGTCATACGATAAGTCCTTCCATATAATCCATAGATGATGTATGGCCGCTCATATACAGTGCATTGACTTGCAACGTAACGATCTTCTAGTGTGCTTTTATTCAAGGATACCGAGCGTGAGCTATGAAGGTCATTAACCTGAACATTACTCTCAGACAAATTCGTTATTTTTCATAGATGGAAACGTATTTGGATTTTTGAATCCAATAATATTGTAGTTGCCATTAATTCAGTAAAAAATAACCGCCCATAAAGTGTCAACCTAGATTGTTCATATGTTTTGGCAGGGGAAATAGAACAAATGTGCTATTAACCTAATGCAAAAGAAAGTAACATTATAGTTAATATTTTCTAGCCACATAAATTCTGTTTGATCTGGGTTGAAACATTTGCACGACTCTCCCAAAATAAGTCGTCATTTAGGATTTTACTCTTGAATTATCAGTATAGACTATGTCTTAAATTAGGCCATAATTATTTATCAGAGTTCATCATTATCCATAGTACTAGTTTTTGTGTGAGATTTTAAATTCCAAAATATTAATGAATCTAATAAAAAACCAGACAATAGTCTTTTTCCTGAAATGTATTATCTGACTTGTAAATAACTGTATTAACATAATTCGTTGTTGTTAATTGTAATTGGACCTCATAATGACATGTTTGACAGACTGGACGAAATCGATATTTAGTACATCTCAATACCCGTGTAAGGGTAAGAGTTAACATACTTCTTTCGTTATATCCATGCAATCTGGTTTGTAATACGAACACTTATTATCTAAGAGTGTACTCAGAATAACATGTCGTTATCATAAGTAAATGCAACGTGTGGAAGTGCGAAAATGCGTAATAACTTTGAATAACATCGTGAGAACTAGGCCATCCCGTGATCTGTCTCGGGTCAGGGAAGTAAAAAATAACGGCGTTAATTGTAAGGAAAGCTCAGAAGTTACACAAGCGCATAATGTATGAGTTACGTGAGTCAAGTTACCAATGGTTGGCACGCACACTCACACAAACACACACGCACAACACACGCGTGTACGTGATCCTTGTTGATCTAGATTTGAACATTTCAATCAGTCAAGATTAACACCTGGTGTGATAATAGCGTTAAGGGCATCGGAACCGCCTACATCTTTCACTTTTTACATAACAAGCCTATTCGGTTTGAGATATTTAGCATTGTAAGTGGATTACTGTACTCTTACTTTTACAATATGCAGTTCCTGGTGAAAATTATATTGTGTAACTGACCAATTACATATGTACTTAGGTAAAGATTAATGTACACATTTTAAATACTTTTGGTATTTAAAATGTGTACATTAAAGCTGCCTCAAGTTAGAGTGGTATAACTTAGAAAACTTGGGGTTGACATACCGGTCAACACATATGGAAATGTTAGTCACTAGTATTTGGCTGTCGTTGAAACGGGTAGGCTCAATTGATAGTTTCTTGAGTGATGGTACTAGTTTTCAATCAAATGTTATTTAAAATCCCTGTATCTAGGTGGCCAAATAGAAAGTATGTCAACTCTACAAATTCTAATTAGAAGTAAACGATTCGCAAAAATATCGTCCTAGTACTTCAGACCATATCTAGGTCTCAATCTCGGGACAAAGATAAATTTAAGGCGTAGATTGCTGTTACTCAATTTGCCGCAAAACTAAACTATTAATATAACATTTTTAATCGTAGGTGTAAAATATTTTTCCTACAGTCACCCGACAAAGTTGGCTTCCCTGTACTGTTTATAGTACAGAAAGCTGCTAATTGCTGCATATTTATACTTTGCCGTACGGTTTATACTTTGCCGCACGGTTTATACTTTGCCGCACATCAGGATTCCAACCAAACAACACAAAACAGCGTGGTTTTATTATGCACGTAATCCGTGTACGCTTGGAAATAGGTTGGCAACACTTAAAGATAATAATACTATGAACAGCTGATTGACTATTATAACTACGATTTAACCTGTCATTTCGTGTTTATAGTTTTGGTATTTCTGAACTTTCTGGACTTTTCTTTTAAACGTTTTTAAAACATTCCTACGGTCTTAATAAACAAGAAAATACCTTTAAAGCATTTTTTTTAGGCGCGGAAACCACTTCAAATTACAAAAACATACGGAACTATATTCTCAAAAGACGGAGCACATTTCTTGCCCAGGAAAAATAGCGGAGTGATACGGACCACGGGTACTACTTTCTCCAGGGCACCATTTGTGTAATTGTGTTGCTAGCTGAACCTAAAAACGTGTTGTATAGTGTTTGAAAGACTAATTATTTATGTTTTATAGTGACTGTAGGAAAAATATAATGTGTAACACGAGTGAAAAAGGCCTTTGCTGCACTCGAGATCATTCCGCACTCGCCTGCGGCTCGTGCGTAAACATTGCTCTCGTGTGCAGCAAAGTGCCACTTTCACCACTAGTTACACAAATAACTATTTTGACGTAAGGTTGGGGAATTGTATTCACTGGCTATAGAAATTACAATAAAAAAATGATGTTTGTTTTATGATAAATAGATTTTGTCTCACAATTAATCTATGTTTTTAACTAATGATTGGCCGGGAGGGCTCGAACTGCACTCACGGTCAGTCCCTGGCCCTAATCCAACTATGGAACTGCACTCACGGTCACTTTGAGCCTTTCTGGGGGTACTGGAACTGCACTCACGGTCAGTTTTTAATTAGCCTATATCACATTGTGCAACACCATGATTAAATTGATACAAACTTATTAAATTAGTTGAAATATATTGAAAAGTTTTGATTAAATTAATCCAAACGTCAAAAAATAAACTTACTACTGACATTGTAAAAAATACACATATATATGTGCACAGAAAATTCTAGCATAGTATTTACGATAACATGATAAGCTATATTCTTATTATAACGAAGCTGCTTTTGTAAAGGTTTCTTGTTGGGCGCGAATATTTGGCTGCATACAGACTGATCCGCGGTCAGAGGGTAGTTTTGGATCATTCAAACTGACCCGGGGGTCTGGTAAGTAGATAATAGGGTCGCTTGAAACATGTGATCTGACCCGCGAGTCGTCGAGGGAGGACGGGAAATTCTTCAGGCTTCTACGGGGAAAATAAGTTGAGCAACAGACAAAGTCCTTCCTTGTACAACCAGTAATATGATTTAGCCTAAAAGCTTATTTTAGCAATTTAGTTCATTTGGCTTAAATATTGCTATCATTTTTTAAAATCTTTCACTTAGTAAAAACTAATTGTTATTTAGTACAAACCAACAGAAATACAGTACATCAGTGATAACTTACATTGCTATAGGGTTCTATTGAGTGATTATAACTTACCCTAAGTTTTAATCAAATTTTGAAGGTTTTTTGTCATTTTAATCTTTGTATGTTAAGCTGAGCAGTGTGTGGTGAATGCTTCGCCCCAGAGCCAGGGCTAAAGCGCCTATGTTAATCCTATAGAATGCTAACATTTAGAGTATTACTCTATTTGTTACAGGGTTCTTCATACTATCCTTAAAAATAATACATCGTTTGTTGTAAATTATCATTGGTGCCATTTGTTTTGTCTGATGTTGATTTCTAAAATTTAAAAATATAGGCCTAGTTTTTTTTTTATTTAAGTTTAGGATATGGTTATGTATTTCTTAGTTCTTGTAAGCTTTTTATGATAACAATATATTTGTTATTAAATTGGTACGTTTGATACTTCCAGAAAGTAATTTGATAATAATGATGGAAATAATTAGTAATATGATTTATATTTAAAATCATAATCATAAAAAAATTAAAAAAACGAATTCTATTAAATCCCTTGCGCACAAGTATTTACGTACAAGTATTCAGTGCGAATTCATGTTTCTTGATTCATAATTCGAAAAATAGGTTTACTACAAAGTACAGAATTGGCTTATATCTTTGAATATTAATAATACAAAAAATCAAGTAAAAAATAGTTAGTCGCTAGCGCATGTGGCTGGCTCACACAACTACGTTCTTTTTTAACAAAACACTGGCTACAGAGCTGGTCCATTTAGATGGAATGTCTACTTCAGTATCCAATAGTCAATGCTTGTATTTAATTTGAGTCATATTACGTAAAAGATATTAAATCTATCAATTTAATTCCGTAAGCGAATCGGTCCCCATTAAATATCCCGAGCTACGTAAAAGGTAGAATGGCTGTTGGGGATTAATTAATTTTAA